AGTTTCATGTGTTTTGGTTATTGTTGTTTTTCCATTTACATTGGTAATTGTGTATGTTTCTTTCCTGGTTCTGCTTTCTTGACTGCATCATGCAAGTTTTCCTGTGCATCTCTGTATTCATCATGTTCTTAGTTTCTTATAGTATAGCAATCTCTCATTACATTGATGTTCAATAACATGTTTAGTCATGTCCTAATTGATAGGCATCTCCTTGGTTTCCAGTAGCTTTCTACTACAAAAAATTGCTATAAATATCTTGGTGCATATAGTACATTTCTTTTTTTTTTCCTTTTATCTCCTTGGGGTATATGCCTAGTATCAGGATCTCTGGATCAAAGAGTATGGACATTTTAGTCAATATCCTCATGTAATTCTAAATCATTTTCCAAAATGGCCAGACCAGTTCACAGTTCTACCAAGAGTACAAAAGGAATGAAATATTAAACTACTTTAGTAAAGGAGGCAATAATCCCACTAAACTCTTCCCTGGTCCAATATTAGGAAAGCTATAAGCATAATTGACTATATCAATAACAAAACCAACAAAAAACATATGATTATGTTAAGAGATGCAGAAAAAACTTTCGACAAAAATACAACATCCATTCATATTAAAAACACTGGAAAGCATAGGAATAAATGGAGCTTTTCTTAAAATAAGTAGTATTTATCTTAAACTAAGAGCATGTGTTATCAGTAACAGCGATAAACTAGAAATCTTCCCAAGAAGACGAGAGGTGAAGTCCATTATCACCACTATTACTCAATATAGTACTAGAAATGCTAGCTATAGCAATAAGACCAAAAAAAAAGAAGGTATTGAAGGAATAAGAACAGGCAATGAGGAAACAGAACTAACACTCTTTGCTAATAATATGATGGCATACTTATAGAATCAACTAAAAAACTAGTTGAAAGAATTAACAACTTTAGAAAAGTTGCAGGATATAAAATAAACTTACAGAAATAATTTCTATACCCTACCAACAAAACCCAGCAGGAAGAGAGAGAAAAAGAAATTCCTTTTAAAATAATTGCAGATGATATTAAATACTTGAGAGTTTACCTGCCAAGACAAATCCAGGAATCATATGAACATAATTACAAAGCACTTTTCACACAAATTCTGCCATGGTCAGACAATGTCTGTGATTGTGTATTCAGTTCTACAACCAGATTTAAGAATTTTACATGGAACCTTTTCAGAGGATGACATCCTTGTGTTGTGAGGGAATCTAAATCAATGCCATTGGTTATAGGAACTTGGAATATTTAGAAGAGGGAAGAAAAGACTAGGAAGTTGTAATATTGTTAAACAAAAATTATTAATACTCTACCTACTCTTCTAGGCATGTTTGCCAGAAATAATTTAAGTTTATGTTATTCTCTATCCAAGTATTTCTAGTTTGTAGGGAGATGTCCAGACATAGTTCCCAATGATCTCCAACAAATCTCCCTACTGAAAGACAATTTAAGCTAACATAAGAATCTTGAACAAGGAAAAGATTATAATGTGTTAAAATAGGGTTCGAGAGTTAACATTCTAAAATCTTTTCTCAGTATCTTCCCTAATCACTGCCCTATAGTCTTTTCTTGAACTAAACAAAGAGAAATTCTCCCTGAAATTAGTAAATTAATATTTTTTAATGAAGCAGAGTGGGTCAGAACAGTTGTGGTTGTCCTTTGTTCTAGACATCAGGGAGGTGATGCCATGACAAACAAGTGAATTGGATTAAAATGAGGGAAGGCTATGCAAAGTCACCAGCCTCACTTTCTCCTCTAGAGCTATCTGGGTCCAGTGGCAAGATACAGATCAGGACAATTGAAGATTGCCCTGGATGCAGTGGGAGACCTTGGCCCTTTTAAGCTAAGGCCTTTAACAGATCTCAGTTTAACTGAGGCAATGCCCATTCAATGATTAAAGCTAGATAAAAAATGAGGCAGAGAATAGCCTCTTTTACCTAGTCAAAAACAAAAAACGAAAAGGAAAAAAAAAACAATATGGGAGAGGTTTCTGGCCAAAACAGAAACAATTGCTATTTGCACTCACTCTGAGCAGTGTAACTTTAGGGGATGGGAAAGGAGAGAAACCTTTAGAGTCAATATCCCAATCACTGCAGATGTAGGGAAGGCAATGATGTTTAAAAAGGCTAAAAGTAAAATAATTCTAAAGACTAGAATCATTCTTTGTTGAAAGTTTTGGTTATCACCCTTCATCTATTTCCATAATAGTTTTACAAAAAAAAGAAGATTTTAATATGCTTCCACTTTAATATGTTTTAATATGCTTCAAGTACTTGAAGAGCTGTTGTGGTCAGTTATTTAATAAGCATTTATTAAGTGCCTACTATGTACCAGATACTGCACTAAAGTTGAAAATGCAGAGAAAAGCAAAAGGCAAAAGACAGAAGCTTCTGAAGAAGCTCATATCTAACAACGGAATCAACAGGCAAACTACATACAAACAAGATACAAGAAGATAAATGGGAATAAATTTAAGATGCAGACTAATTATGTAGGCAGGTTGAATGTTAAGAAAAAAATCAGTGTACTTAGTGATTAAGTTTTGGGAAAGGGAAGAGAGGAGAATGGCTTTTCATTTTTTATAGTACAGCATGGAACCTAGGACTCAGAATGGAAGTCATAGAGAGGTACATTTTGGTTCAGTGTGAGAAATGCATACTAACAACCGAATGAGCTCTTTGAGATATTAGTGAGTCCCCATCAATGGAAGTGAAACTTTGTCAGGGGTTCATGCCTCAAGTATGAATTGGACAAGATGAATTTGGATGTCTCTTCTAATTGTGGGCATTTAAGATTCTAATTGCCTCAACCCTCTACTTCAAGCTTTTTTAGCCTCTTTAGAGACAAACAAAGAACACATTGACAAACCCAAGGACTTAATCCCATTCCTAAACCTGATTTATTCAGGCTCTTTTCTAGCAGGAATTACATTCCCCAAAATGGAGCCGTTAATGAACAGAATAGGAAGCATAGACTTATTTTATAGGTCAGTTATGGGTAAAGGAATAATCAGTATATTCAGAGTGATTAAATTACATAAGAAAAGATGCCATGAAATCATAGTTGCATATTGCCAGTGACTCCATTAGCTTTTCCAAATGATCTGATTAAGACACATTGAAATGTAATAACAGAGAAGCAATGTATTAAATACCTAAAAACACTCATGATACTTCTTTTTAACTAGGCTGTTTGCCAAACCTTATTTTATACTTTGCTGTTGCACCTTAAATAAGATACTCATGAAGAAATGTAATCCTGGATCATTTTTTTTCTTCTGTAAGATACTTGTACTTGCTAATATGAGCTTAATGTAATTTTAGCAGATAAAACAACAAAGAAGGAACTGGATAATAGATTTGTACTAAGGATTTTTCAGGTGTCTTTTTTAAAGTTATGCATTAAACATTAAACAATCATTGAAGAAGTCACTTGTATTTAATCAAAAGAAACCCATCACATAATTCCATAACCTTCTCCTTATGGTGAGAATTAAAAGAAAATCAAAGTAAGCAGGAAGTTTAATCTGCACCCTGGAATTGAGATTTGTTACCAAATTCTTCATGAAAAAATTAATATAAAAGTGAGAATTGAGATTGTTGTCTATTTTTTTTTAACAAATTGCTCTCTAATGCTTGTACTGACAATAATTGTATGAATATGGTAACATTTTCAGGTAAAACAAATAAAGTTATGATCCTTACTTTTCCTCATCATCCTTTCTATACCCAATCAGTTCAATCAGTTGCCAAGTTTTATATCTACAATATCTTTAGTTTCTGCACCATTTTCTCCACTCACATGACCACCATGCTAGTTCAAAACTTCATCATTTTTTTATCTAGCCTGTTACAGTAACCTTGTAATAATTCTTCTTGCCTCAAATCTCTCCTCTCTCCAATTTATCCTTGACACTTCTGCCAAAGTAATATTCATAAAGCACAAGACTAATTCTAAAGCACTCCCCTACCCAAGATTCTCCACTGATTGCCCATCAGATCAAACAGAATATCTTCTATTTGGCATTTAAATCCTTTTATAATCTGACTTCATCCTATGTCTCCACACTTAATGACATATTATTCCCCTTGTCACATGCTCATCCAGGCAAACTGATTGACTTGCAGTTTTCCTAAGTGAAAAAGCACTTCATAAAGCACTTAGCACAGTACCTGACACATAGTAGGTGATTAATAAATGTTTGTCTCCCTTGTCACACATAACCTTCTATCTCCTTTCTCTGTAACTCTGTAACAGCTGTCCTCTATGCTTGGGATGTAGCTCAACTCAAATGCTTGCTTTCTCCTATGTGAAGCCTGTTTGACCTGCTAGTCTTTCTCCTTCTGCCCTGTATATTACCTTGAATTTAGGTTGTATATATTTTTCATACACAGATATGTGTGTATGTTGTCTTACCTGATCGAATTTAAGCTCCTTGAGGGAAAGGGTTATTTGATTTTTGTCTTTGTATCCTCATAGCCTAGCATAGTGCCTAGCATACATTAGTTCATTTAGTAAATACTGGATCAACAAGGATTTAATAAGCCTTACCATGTGCCATGCACTGTAGTAAGTGCTGGGGATACAAAGAAAGGCAGGTTCAATTGAAGAAAATCAACAGAGGAAAGGTTAAAGAGGAGTTAAATGAATGTTAAAGCTTAAAGGAAGATACGGAAAGGCTTCTTGTAGGAGTTGAAATTTATATAGCAGGGTGACATGGTCAGACCTGAACTTTAGAAAGATTAATTTGATAGCTGAAGGATGTAGGGGAGTGGGGAGAGACATGAGGCAAGGAGACCAACCAAAATGCTACTGCCATAGTCCAGGAGTGAGGTGATAAGAGTGTACACTGGGTGGGGATCATCACCAGAGGAGAAAAGAGGGTATGGAGGAGCAATATAAGTTGACTAACAGTCCTTTGAAGGAAAAAAATATTCTCCCTGGATATTCAATGTGAGTCTTTTTATCTTCTACAGGGCATTTGTACCACGACTACTGCATTTTTGCACTTCTTCTTCCTAGCTTCATTCTGTTGGGTACTGACAGAAGCGTGGCAGTCATACATGGCTGTAACAGGAAAAATTAGAACTCGACTCATAAGGAAGCGCTTCTTGTGCCTTGGATGGGGTAAGCACATTTATAAAAAAGTACACTTTCCATATCTCACTAAATTGAATTTAGAGGGTCAGATTTTGAAATAGGACCATTCACTTTTTTTTTTACTTAATTGTTTTTTATCTTTGGAGATATTTGGAGATAGAAATCCTATACATGATAATAGTTCATTTGAAAGTCTGTTCATCATTTGTGAATTGAAAATTGGGAAGAGGTTTCAAAATTACCTACATAGGTGACCAATTACAGTTTTCCCAGTGCGCACATACCATAGGACCTGAAACTCAGGTATGCAGAAAAGGAAATGGCTTCTGCCAATTTATTTTTCCCTAGAAATGTAAAAACTCTATAATTTTTCAAGACCCTTGGCCTTCATGTATGAGAGGTTAGATATAAATCCCAATTAGATGCACCAAAAAATAATTGTGAGGAAAAACTTGAAAGTGATTCAAAAACTAATTTTTATATCAAAAAGAGGAAGCCAGCTAGAGAATCAGTGGGATCCCTTGTTGTTGGTAGCCACAAGGAGAACTCACAGATGAAAAGGAGTTGGATGACAGACTGAATAAAATTTTTGCTTCAGCATCCACTGAGGAGGGCATTATGGAAATCCCTACTCCTCAATTTCCTATCACCAAGATAAATAGATTGAAGTTATTGACAATATTTGAAGCAAAAATAACAAATCAAATGTAAACATGTCACCAGAACCAAGTGGTATCTACCAAAGTATTCTGAGGCCACACAAGAATGAAATTAGAGGAGCTGGTCAAAATACATAAAAGATGGCTGCTATGACAAAGGATTTGTAAATTCACACATAATACTTACTTGTTGTGAGGATTCCAAAGGGAAATCAAAGAATAGTGAATCCCACTCCATATACTGGGCAACCTGATGTTGTTGATGGTAAAGGGTAGGATTATGGACACTTAATAAAGCCAACATTCAAGAAAAAGTGCTTTCTGTAAACTATAACTATCATTTATTGGATTTCATTGAGGGGTTACGTAGCCATGTAGCTAAAGCAGGATTTCCTTAATCTTTTAAAAAATCCATCAATGTTATTAAAAATCACAAATGAGTTAGAGGGACTGTTGTGTCATAAACCTAGTACTTTTCTAGATGAAGAACTATATTGATTAGGGTTTCTTAGGAATTCCTACTCAGGTTGATTTTGTTTCATATCGTTATTAATGATGTGTAGTACATAATGAAACCCTCAAGTTTGTATAACACTGAACAGTTCTGTATTGTACCCTCTCCACCAAAAAAAAAAATCACTTTGCATAAATTTTGAATTGGTTTATCTGTATAAATGTTGTTTTCCACTAGTAATATATATGTATGTGTATGTGTGTGTGTGTGTGTGTGTGTGTGTGTGTGTGTGTGTATGTATATGTATGGCAGGGACTTTAAATTTTTTTGTATCCCCAACCCCTGGAGAAATGAACAAACTAAACAGTTAATACTTATTGAATGGGTGAATGAATGAAGAGGCTATCGAGTGGGAAAAGATTATTTGAAGACTGATCTGTGAAAAAAATGGCAGATGAGTTTTGATGTAGGCAAGGGTAAAGTAATGAATGTAATGAATAAATATCCAAATTATATACATAAACTTATGAGCTGTTAATCACACTGCAGAAAAGGAAGTAGGAAATAATTTCCCATTTCTCCCACCCACCCACTAGTAGAATATAAGTGCCTTGAGGGCAGAAATGGTTGTATTTTTTGTTTTTGTGTCTCCAGTCCCTAGCTAAATGAATAAAGTAAAAACTTAATGCCTGTTGCATAAATGAATGAGTGAGTGAATGAATTAGTAAAAGCCTTTCCAGTGGGAATTCTATCTTTTGAAGAAGAGTGTGAGTGAAAAAATAAAAAACAGCTGGTGATTTTTTATGTGGGCAAGTGTAAAGAAATCCTTGTAATGATTGAATATCCAACTTATGTGCGTAAAATGAAGTTATGAGTTATTAATGCCCAGAAAGGAACCAAAGAATCACTGCTCATTAATGAGGATATTGGTCCAATGTGACTGTAACCAAAAAGGCCAAAAAGTGTTGTGAGATTATCAAGAAGGATACAAACCAGAAAATAGTATCCTCCTCATATAAAATTAAGAACACTATGTATTGTTGAACTTTCCAACTCTGGCATTTCAAAATGAATATAATGGAATTAGAAGAAATCTAGAAAGTCCCCAAAATGACTACAAAGAACATATGAAGGAAGATGCTATCTGCATCCAGAGAAAGAACTGATAAATAGAATTGTATATAAGTCAGGTGTGAAACAAGGATGCCCACTGTCACCAATATTATTCAGTATTGTATTGAAAATCCTAAGAGCAATAAGAGAAGAAAAAGAAACAGAAGGAATCAGAATAGGGAATGAGGTAACAAAGTTATTTCTTTTTGTAGATGATCTGATAATATACAATATGATCACTAAGGCGGGGAAAGGGAGAGAAGAGAAAAGGAAGCAAATTTACATGATAACTTTATTGTACATTTAAAAGGAATAGAAAATTGTACATAATAAATTTGCAGTTTCATGAGCAATCATCTTTTTATAGAAATGTTTGTTTTATTCTGTAAATTAAAAGTAAAATTTTTAAAAGTCAAAAGCAAGTCAAGTAGAATGATTGAGGAGGAAAACAAGAGAGTCACTATATGTGACAGAGTAAAAATGGGTTGAAAGTCTTCATTTGGAAAAGGTAAAGCTTGAGAAAGGATATGAACAAAATCTATAAAATTTATTCATTATGTGACTGACATACACCCAGATTCATTTATCAAATCCTTAAATACAAGGAAAAAGGGGCCCCTCTTTGAAACTTGAATGAAATAAGTTTAAGACTCATAAAAAGATGATTTCACATGGAACGTCATTACCCCAAAAGGTGGTGCAGGGATCCTTATAAATGGATTCCAAAAAATTTAGATAATTGTTTGAATGGAATAGTAATAATTGTTTGCTAAGAGAATTTGCTATGCAATTAACCTTGAAGATTGACATCAGAGAACACAACCTTGTACTCTCACCCATATCTCTTAGTGTGTCTTTTGGCAAGAGACTACAAAGCTAAATGAACCATAACTGCATAAGTAGAGAAATTCCTATATTCCTATATTCCCATGGTGGAAAGTGGATGATATGGATGAAAGTTAGCACATTTCACTCAGTGTGCGATTGAATGAATATGTCACTGCTATTATATTTCATCACCCATCTGTGTTTTGCCTTCTGGCTTTGAATCTGTAGGTTTTCTATAAATCAGGATAAACCTACCCTCTTTCAAAAGAGAAAGGGGGGGGTAAGCTAGAAAGAAACATCACAACTATTATTAGTTCATTGTAAACCAATGTCAAATAAAGTAGTTACCTAGCAACATCAGAGCAATGCTCTGTGTTGAAAATCTAGTTGTCACTTTAATATTCTTATACTTGAAAGAAAACCTTGTTTTCTTCTGGAACCATGTTTTGCAAAAATATTCATCCACATGCAATTCTTCCATTTTTTACTTCAAACAGTATTTCTTAGGCAAATGAGTGATTTAGAACTGAAACAAAGTTTGGTCTTTTGCTTTCCTTGCAGGTTTACCAGCATTAGTAGTGGCCATTTCAGTAGGCTTCACCAGGACGAAAGGATATGGCACTGATCACTAGTAAGTCCATCCACAGTGATAAATCATGTTTGTAATTAAGTTAATTATCAAATAGGCCTCATCAGTGCTCGTTTCCCACTGCTAATGACTTAATTTTGTGCAATGAGTCATTAACAATTGCAGAAATTGCATCAGTGTAGAATTAAGGAAGGGATATTAAATGCATGAAGGTTATAGAATTGGAGCTGGAGGGCTTTGTGGAGCCCATGTTCACAGTTAGCATTTTATAATTTCATTACTATGTCTACCTATTCTGTTCCTTATGGATGTTATTATTCCATAAACATGTTAGAAGAGTGAGGGGCATGGTGCTTTCTTTGCAGTTAGCATGGGTAATATCAATGAATGTTTACATCTGAATAATTCTTGGCACACTTTGACTTCAAATGTCAATCTGACACAGAGTTTACAATGTCACCATGAAGACACCACATGCATATTAGCAACAAGCCTATGTTGTCACATTTGTCAAGTCAGCCAAACTGTGGTAACTGCATAAAATAGTAATATAGGGATCAATACATTTGCTGTGGCTCAGGGAGCCAGCCCAGAAGTGAGAGTACTGTTTATTAAATAATCCATATTTAAAAGTGCCTTCAAATGATTAAAAAACATTTCTTAATCTATGTTTGAATGTATGTGTGTGTGTGTGTGTGTGTACATCCAAGGTGGGAGTCTGGGGAAGAGGAAGAAAAGAGAGAGAGAGAGCAAGATGCTTCAGGACTTCCCTACAACCAAATCTAAAACCCTCCCTAACAGAAGAGTAGGAATTTCCTGAAGTTTGCTGGGGAAGCTCCTTGAGTAAGAAGATTTGAAGGAGAGAGAGCAGTCTTTGGGAAGAAAGAGCAGCATACTTTCATCCAGTACCAAATACTAGATACCAAATACACTAGAGAGCAGGACTTTTAGGAGGTATGATGAACAATAGACACGGTCAGGTCAGAAAATGTAGGGAACAAGGAAATGTTCAGAACAGGACAAGTAGGGGGTATGGAAGATGGACATGATTAGAGCAGGACAAGTAGGGGCCATGGAAGTTCAACAGAGATGATCAGTTCAATATATGTAGGGAGCATGGAAGATGGAAATGGTCAGAGTGGGACATGTAGAAAGTTCATGGAAGATGGGGATAATCAGAACACAGAAATGAATAAGAAGCTATTGCTCCTATAAGGATTTTGCAGGGGGGTGGGGGTGGAGGGATGGAAACTATTGCTAACCTGGGGGAGTCTATAGGGTGAGCTGTGGTTTATAACAGGCCCTAACATATTCCTTCCACCTCTTACCCCCTATACTTGGCCATGTTAATACCCATAGTCCCCAGCTCCTTTCCTTCCAGGGTAAACCAATATTTTAGAAGGGAGCCAGGGGAAAAGAATTCACGTTAGTTGGGTGGTTAAAAGTGTTGTCAAGCAGCTACACTGCCCTGTGATCCTAACAGTTGAGTTCCATAACTTCCATCATTCTCCTAGAAAGTTAGCTGAAGCCAATATTGCACCTCAAATCCCCTGCAAAGATTGTAAGACAAATAGTTTAATATAGAAATATTGATCACACTTTCATGTTATAATTAAATTTTTGTTCAAAATACTAGGTCCCAGGATGAAACTTCTAGGTTCCATGGTAGTCTGACATCCAAAATTTGAAGATCTTTATAGTAATATTAAGAAAAAATAGAGGAGGATAAGCATGTCTCATTGTTAAAGAGTAACCTTTCTATAACCAGAAGGGCTCATTCCATTCTCATTCCATTCTATCTATACTCAGATCAATGATGTGGATTGTAAAATAATGGAATTTCACTCTATAATTGATCCTTGATGTTTTTATATAGTGAACATAAATTCATCTACATATATTTTTATTCTGCTCTAATTTTAATAAGGAAACAGAAAAGGGGAGAGAAGAAAGAGTAAAGCAATTGCTGGAAGGCAAGTTTTAAAATGCAGAATTCCATTGTTTAAATGAAAGCAAGCTCTAAGTCCAGAATCAAGACTATTAAGTCCTGATAGCCTATTCAAAGGGATTGTTAACATATGTGAAGGCATGATTTGGGAACCCTCTTAGGGAACTGAGTCCTGGTTTCCTATTTATGTACTGCGTAAACTAAGTGCTTAGCATTCCTCAAGACAAGTCTGTAGTGATCTATTTTGGTAGTTATTACAGCTTTTATTACCATTAAAAATAAATTCATTTGAATTGTAAGCATCCAGGGTATGAGGAACATAAGGCATGAATGAGCCTTAACATAATACCTGTCCTTGAGGACGTTACAGATTAGGATGAAGAGATTATTTCTTCAATGGATCTATTATTTCATCAGTGCGGGCTCTCTCTCTGGTGGTACAGGTTATAACCCAAGCATTACTTTTGATCCTAGCTGACTCTTATCTATGGTTTCAAAGAAAAAACTCCATTGCTGAGTTTGGAGGTGGGGGATGGGAATTTACTCCATATTCTGGGACCATTTGTCTAAGACTCTTAGCATGACATGTATTCTGTTAAGCCCATGGATAGGCTGTCCATCTCTTATATTTGATTCTTGTCACATGACTGGCCCACCTCCTTTTCTAGTCCTACATCTCATTGGTGATGCCCTTTTCACTGCTTCTCCTGCCTAATTCTTTATTGACAACATATTGAATCCCATTCAATCCTACCAAGTGCTTCTCTATTGCCCTTTGGAGCATCTCTAATTTTAAGTCTTAGGAAGAAGGGGAGGTAAAGGGAATTAGCATTTATATAGCCCCTGCTACGTACCAGGCACCGTGCTAAGGGATTTAAAAATACTTCATTTCATCCTTACAACAACCCTGTGAGGTAGGTGTTATTATCCTCATTTTATGGCGGAGGAAATTGAGGCAAAGAGAGGTTAATTGGCCTTCCCAGGGCCACACATCCAGTAAGTGTCTGAGGCCAGATTTGAATTTGGTTCTTCCTGACTCCAGCACTCGATCCTTTGCACCAGTTAGCAGCCTCTAGAGTACTTGCTACTCAGCCATATAGCATCACTGGAAAAATATAGATATTAAGAAGATAGGTCTTTGTTGCTGGGAAAGGCTGAAAGTCATTAAAAGCATTGCATGACTTCCCTTCCCACTCTTCTTATTCAATACTGGGCCATCTACAATTCCTAGCCAAACTGTATGTATTAATTAAATAGTTCTCTGGATATCCATCTAACTGCATAATGAAGCTTGGAGCAGTAGTATCAAACTCAAAAAGAAATAGGGGCCACTAATCCATACAGAAAGTTCCTACAAGCAGCATATTGACTTATTGCTATTATCTATGTTTTATTGTATTTTTAAATGTTTCCCAATTATATTTTAATCTGGTTCAGGCCACACATGGGAGTGTTGTGTGCTGCATGTTTGACACCCCTGGTCTGAAACATAGTATTCTTTATTCACGTGCTTTTTCTTATGTAGATAATGAAGACAGACTCTTCTGAATGATTTTTAAGGTTCTACATTGTTCTAGGGCTTTATGTATATAGCACAATGTTATCCACAATCAGGGTAATCTGGAGAAACTTATCAAATACATATTTGGAAATCTGATTTTGATTTAGACTCTGTGCTAGAATCCTACCTAAGAGTGAAAAACATCTATCTCTTCTTATTTTAGGCCTTGTATAATATTAAGAAACAGAGAATTGTTGAACAAACATTTCTGTTGTATCTTTCCAGGTATCATATTTGTAGTGTATTCATGAAGGGAGAGCCCACAAAGCAACATTTTTCTCTATTGAATTAAATGTTTAATTGTCAACAAAAAATAAATATAGGAAGATTTTGTATTTTATAAACCTTTCATTCAGATGTGTGATTGTAAAGGGGATGTATGTTATGTAATATTGTTTGCAAAAGCCCATTTTTTCCTTTCCCTTGCCTTTATGAAGTAGGTTTCTCAATGTGGGCATAGATTATTCTCATGAAAATTTTGGAAAGGGTCTTATGTATCAATAATTCATATGTCATAGATGCAGAGCTCAAAGAGAGCTCAGAAGCCATTAAGTCAAACTCCTTCATTTTACAGATGAAAAAACTGAGGCCCAGGAAGGTTATGACTTGCCCAAAGTCACACAGATAGTAAATGTCAGCTGTTGATTTGTTGCCCTTTTTCATAATAATAAGGTTCATGATTTTTTCCCAAATGTTTTCTATTCTTGGTTCTTTTTCAGAAGCTAGCTCTCCCTATCTCTCCCAGGCTAGAAGTGAAGTGGCTGGTCATGGGCCTAATCCCAATTGTGATTGGCATAGAAGCTTAACCTGCTCTGTTTTTTCTAATGTGGGTTGATTCACCCTTCCTTGAGCAGCCCAATGGCCCTTTGCTCCTAGGAATTCACCATCTTCATGTTGGACTTAGTTCAGGTATCCAGTCAGCTTTAGCTCTACTATAGTGCAGAACTACTAAATTCAAGCAATCCACCAGCCTCAGCCACCCCTAACAACAGGGACTATAATCATTCATCACCACTCCTGACATAGTCTGGCTTCTTTTACATATACTGAGAATTAAAATTGCCTTCAAAATTGTATTATCTCTGGCATAGTCCTCCTTGGTGTACATTCTAGACTGGCTGTTCTTCTCCTTATTTTCTTATTCCCCTATTTACTTCTTCATTTAGCATATTGTGGACTGTAATATTGTTAGAGTCCAAGGATTTGCTATTATTGATAGAGAAAAGAGCTTGTTAAGGAAATATTTCCAACTTTTTTATCTATTCTTTGTTCTTCCATATTCATCTTTCAATGCCCTAAAGATGAGCTACCTTAGTTATTTCTTTCACAAATATATCAGCTTGCTTTTCCATAAACTTCTTATTGTTTTGTGAGATAAGATACTTGTGATCTTTTACCATCCTTTTCTATAACATTTTTCACAGGAATTTATTTTCTAAACTGGTATTTCCCACAGTTGCCATGTTTCTCTAATTGGCTCTGGTAGTTTGCTAGTTAAGGCCATTTTTAGACTTTTTGAGTCTTCTCAATGTGATGATTGACTTAAACCACCTAATTTCCATAGATTATAGTGACAGTTTCAATGTTTGTTCTTTAATCCATTTCACATTTTTTACATCAATTGTTTGTTTAAATAAGTCAAACCAGAGTTGCTTCAACTGTGTGCCATGTCCTTCATTTTTGTTTTGTTTTTTTCTTCTAATTTGGTATTTGCTCTAACAAGCTTGCAAATTGGACATATACAAGAGACTAATTAAGAAATAAGTCTCACATAACAACCAGTTATTTCTTTAAAATATAATCACTTTCTTTTTCTTTCTTTTCTTTTTTGATGAACATGGTATTTACCATATTCAGTGCCTCTTGATTCTCTTCTTGAAGACACTGTTCATGTCCTATGGCAGGGATCAGCAGACTACTTGGTGATCTAAGAAATAGTTTTTACATTCTTAAAAAAGTAAAAACTATTCTTAGCTCATTGACTCTACGCAATCAGGCAGTGAACTGGATTATGGGCTGTAATTTGATAATACATGATCCATAGGTGTGGGGCTAATATATATACTCTGCCAGTTTTTCTCTCAAGTCTTACACCTAACTATGTTTTCCAGCATATTTTTCACCATCCTCCCTTGTCTTCAAATTTGCATTGAAATCAACTGTATTAAAAACATGTTGTTTTAATTTGGATGATCTTTTTATATTCTTCATACACCTTCCCTACCTCCTTATGCTCTACAGTAGATGTCAGTACATAAGTTGTTGTTATCTTCCTGGTAGTTTTTGGTTTTGGTTTTTTTTTTTTTTTTTTGCAAATGCTTATCATGAATACTGCAATATGAGATGACCAATGAAATAATCATTCTGGGTGCCTTTGAATGCATGATAAAAGCATGGATGGGGGAGGGGGTTGCATACTAAAAATAAATTTTGGAATAAACTATTGTTCCCAAAGGTTAAAAACAAACAAGTACCTTAAAAGATGGGAATGATGAGTTGCTCTCAGTAGTGTGAAAAACTTCCCTCAGGCAGCCTGCTCCTACCTATTCTAAATTATACATTCAACCAGTGACTGGTAAGATAGGCCACCTGTGGCAAGCTACATGCCATCTCCATTTCTCTAGGTAATGTGAGAATGAATGTCTTTCCTTATATGCTTTCCCATGACTCTATCCATATAAATTTATATTTTTTCCAAATGCCAAAATTGAAATAACAGAAGCTGCTTTTATTTTCATTCAAAACCTAAAATTTGGTGAATTATTTAGTATGCTGCAAAGATATAGAGGCAAGTAATGCATGCAAAATGTAGAATATGCATCTCTTTGCAACTGTTGCTTTTAAACAAATTTCTTCCAATATATTGAAGGCCTTCAGGAAGAGCAGGTAAATGGCATGTTTGAAATTTTTAAGACTAGCTGTCTCTGCTTAAAAGGGCAGTTGAAAATTTTGATAGTGGATGGCAAATAGCATTTTTAATCCACCCTAAATTTTCACTTCAGGGCTGAAAAGAAATACAGTAAATCTCACTGCAATGGTAATTTTTCCTAAAAGTTTTAAGTACCTAAAAATAATGTTTTTTACCAAAAATTCCTTTCCAGTGAGAACTGTTCAATACATGGAATGCTATAGTTCAAGTCTTTCCCCCTTATGTGTAATTTTATATGCTTTTCCAATGTTCTAGAAAGCCAAAGAGAAATCGGTAAGCCAAATTGTTTGTTTCGTGCTTCAGTGGTTTTATACTCATCACTAATTTGTGTTAGTTCTTATCTAATATTCTTTCCAGCTGCTGGCTATCTCTTGAAGGAGGGCTACTCTATGCTTTTGTTGGGCCTGCTGCTGCTGTTGTCCTGGTAAACATCAAAATCACCTTATTTTCTTCTCTGAGCAAAGAAAGGCTGTTTTATAACAATTAAATTGACTATTTCACTAGTCATTGCATGTTGTATAGAAGTCTTAGCATCTGATGCACTGTTATGTTGATTTTATTTGACTTCATAATGCTCCACAGGAAGTACCTGACTACTCTGAAATCTTATTTTGAGTTGCAAGGAATAGGGGGGAGAAGTGTTCATATGTTTGAGCTTTCATTTATACTGTGAAATTACAATTGTGTAGGGAAGCTGTGGTTAACTTAAAATCTTTGCCCTTTAACACACAACATTTCACTCATTGTGCATTATTTATTTGTAAGGGCCTTTGCCATGCATTCCTATCTGGAATATCTCATAAAGGTCCCCATTTCTCAAGAAAGACAAAAGCATAACCCAAAACAAACCCCTATGAAATACACAAAGATTATGATTTTTTTCTTTTGTGAAACCCAGAAGTAATTTCTTCATAGCTCTAACTCTAGAACATACCCCAAAATGAACATTAATTCTGCTACTAATTTGCCTTTGTCTCCCTTAATGAGGACATCTCATTTTGTTAATATCAAATCTCTTTCTCCTCAATAAATCTGGAAAGTGAGCAAGGGGGGGGGGCAGTCTGAACTAAATCCAGAGATCCTCATCTCTGTTCAATTAGCTTTCTAATTGGAAAACTGTTCCTCAGTTTCTTAAATGATTCATGCAATAAATTGGAAGCAAATGGCACAGTTTGTTCAGGACTCTAAATGTATAACTTTCCTTCTTTTAAAGTTTGGTCTTTTCTGCCCTTAAACATTTTCAACATAGCAAGGGGCTAAAGCTACACATGATTTATAAGAGAAATAAAATCCAGGCTCATGGTGAGATAAGGACCTAAAAAAATAGGAAGTATTAGACATGCTTTTTATCTGTTGAATTGAATCTTGATTCAGTGGATAGGATCATTTCCCTAAGCTACTATGTTAATGTTTCACTAACCCTAAAATAAAGAAAACTATTGTGTGTGTTAGAAACACTACTATTTTAGTCTTTGGGGGAACAATCAATTCCTGTCTGCATGCTACGATTATAATAGAATCTATAACAGATAACATTTCTCCTAGTTTCAATAATAAGAAATCAGAAGATAAATAACTCTTTCCTTGATTAAATGGTAACTTGGCAGTTGGCAATTTTTTTTATGAGGGAAGGGATTTATACCCACTAAAAGTGGTATGGATCTTCTTTATAGCATCATTTAAACAGAGTCAAATTATAAAACCCACATGGCTTGAGCGAATTCAGGTTTAACTACTTTGTGTTGAAATCTTCAAATCATTTTATAAACCAAAAATTGAAATTCCAATATGTGGTTTACTCATCTGTAACAGATGATTCTGTTGCCCCATTCGGAAATAATATCTTAGGTAGGGAGGCCAAAAGAGAAAAGAAGGAAGAACAAAATAAAACAAAAAATTATATTCAGTAATTAAGTCATGTGAGTGAGTTGACTTCAATTAATCAATTCCTTTTGATACATCACTTTTTTGGACCAATCCTGAGAAGCTGTTATAAACAGTTAAAATGAGAGACATTTCATTCTGGTATTTACATTTTCAATGGAGAAAGAAAACTATGTATGATTACATCTCAGCTGAAACATCTAAAGGATTTTTAAAGTGAAAGTAAGAGGAACATTAAAAGTAAATATTGAAGAATATTTAATAGAGCATACTGTAAAAAAAAAAAACAGTGTTTTGATAGCCATCTCGAAAAACTAATTTCTTAAAAGATCCCACTGATCTACCATAGATTTGTTCTTCGGTTGGCTGTCTGACCCCAACCCTGGAACAATAACCCAGGTCTGATAGCAAAACATCCTTGCCTCATATATCCAATACCCTAGGTTATGGACAGATTATCAAAGGTGTAGGTAGGATGAGGACAGGTTCATATAACCAACTTGCAATGTGTACCTATCTGGGAAGTGACTGCGAATGTTGAATTGATTAGAGATTGATTTCAGGCATAATAGATGTTACTAGATTACTTTCACTACCATTGAAAGGTCAACTGTTGTTTCTATTTGACAGGTCAACATGGTGATTGGCATTTTGGTATTTAATAAACTTGTTTCCAGAGACGGGATCCTAGATAAAAAGCTCAAACACAGAGCCGGGTAAGCTGCAATTGGTAGATTGTGAAGATTCTTTACCAGTGAATCTCATCTTTTCAGTTCCAGATACTCATCAAATGCATTTGATTGTGCTTTGAATTTTGTTCTCCATGTACTGATGTGTTTGGTAGATTTCATCCATTCTAAAAGTTGCAGTTGTACTGTCCTCAGGGAATGTGACCAAAAATACCCAATCATAATAAAACACAAACTAAAGTATTAAGTTAATTTTTAAAGATGCTGATTTTGGTCTTGCCCACCAAAAACATTAAAACCTAAAGTGTATCTATGAAGTAATTGTTTTTGGATGAGGCACTAAGTTATTCCTCAGATGCCCTTGTTCCTGTTAGCTAAAAGAAAAAAAAATAGGAGGCAGGTGAAAAAAAAAAAGCTTATGGTTTACAGTTGAACTGCCTGCCAAGTGACTGAAAGTTTTTTGTGTTTCCTCCAGAGATTTGCCTTTGACTTTTTATGTTAAAATCTAGTTCCTCACATATGATGATATCTTGTCAAACAGCATTCTTGCTCTGGATTTGTCTTCTTTGCAGTGTGTGTGACTACACCCCGCCAAAATGAGCTATTCAGAGTTCTCACATTCACATTTCATCTGCTTATAAAATTGATAAAAGCATCTCTCTGAATTAATTTCACTGTTATTGTATTACCACCATACCGAGTGACTTAATGAAGACATTTCATATGCAGATTGATGTCAGCTTTCTAGGGTTACATTGTCACCCTTCGTAAGCTAGTAGAAATGTGAATGAAACGTTCTCTCTAGTTTTCCCTTTGTATCTATACATATATTTTATACCTTTCATTTTCACCTACTCTTTCTCTCTCTGTTAGAAAGTAATTGCAGCGTAATTCAGAACTTACTCTGCAGTTGTTCTCTTTTCTTTCATAACCTACAAGCTATATCTGATAAGCTAGCTAGTGCTATTTAACATTTGGAGTATTTATCACCTAGTGGTAAGAATTTTGACATTCCTTCAAGCAGTATTATCTTTGTGAAGATCTTCATGACAAAATAGGTTAGTTACAGGGAACATCTACAAGTATTATATTTTGCTAGTGTAGGACTAATTGCTTTTAATGTGTAAATTTGAGATCATTCATGTCATATCTGTAGTTCTGTTTTAGGACAACAAAAATGTTAGTCTAGATAGTTGAGTCTATATAACTTTCCATTTAGTGTTTTCATACATTATTCACCCTCAAAAAATAATAGTTTGAATAACCTCAGGCTGAGTATACACACACACACACACACACACAACCCACTTCTTGATGGCCCAAACAAATCTTGGAAAAACTAATTTCCATACCCATAGTTCCCCACACTAATGAAATTGCACATGCAAGCAACATGTGTGTATATATGCATATATTCACACATGTATGTCATTGTTTTAAAGTATGTATTTTTAAATGAAAATTCTATCTGTAAATAACTATTAGCTAATTAATGAATTAGAATTCTATTTATATGTTTATTGTGAAAGATAATGATTTATTAGCATGAATAAATGCTGAGTGCCTTGAGAGCAATTTTAATTTGCAAATGTATGAAATTCCAAAATACTTATAGAAATTCAAACCTATTTCTAATTCACTGATGAAAACTAATAGCTTCAATGAAAGGTGAAATTTAATTCTAAGAAGCAGAGTAGAGCAAGTAAGAATAAAAATGACTCTAGTTGATGAAGTTGCTATATGGTCTTCTTTTCTATAGTAATGAACCTCTATTCTGTCTTTAGCCATAACAAATACATCAAGAGTTCAAATACTTTTTTGAAATAGTTTTTATCAGTCATACCATATGAAGTGTAAATAAAAATGAGATACAAGTTACCCCTTCAAAATTATCATCATGATGATAAGGTATAAATTGTACCAAAAATAAATGACTAAGACCTCAAGTCTGCATGTTAGAGATGGATTTGGAAAACATAAAATTCAGTTATTAATATAATTACTAATAATATTAAATAATTCAGTTAAAATAACATTCTTGCATGTAGAAGCATATGTGGTCTATAAAATATTTTTTATACTGAATCACAGGGATTTAATCAACGAATTACACCTATATAGAGCATTGTCTCTGCAGGGAAAACTTTTTTATAAGATTAATCAAATATATTAGATAATAAAATAACTAAATATATGGCACAGCAGAATAAAGAAAAATTTCTGTTAATGTCAATACCTATATAAAATAGAATAGGTTTCTTTTAGGTAAAAAAATGGACTAGAGATACATCATTGCCCTCAACAATATTTCTTTTTGGAGATGACAATGACACAAGAAGGCAGCATAGAAATATACTCGAATTATTGACACAAGGCAAAATGAGATTTCAGTTAAATTATCTTTTATTATAGCAAGCTAAGAAACTTATGCCATGCTTTTAAAATTAACATTTAGTAACCCTTGGCCAGTGGCCATGTTTTGAAGGTCTATAAATAAATTAGCTTTACTAAAGAGGGAAAGATTAATGTATGTTTTCAACCATGAAGAGACATGTTACCTGTGAGACAACAGAAAGACAAATGGCAGTACCTTTGTCTTAAAGAACCTAGTATGGAAACAGATTTTGAATAGCAATATGTTGTCTCTTTCAAAGCTGAAACAAGCAAAAAGGCTAGGTCCACCTGAGAAAATCTATTTTGCTTCAAAATTTGCTTCAAAATTACATAAGATTATCTGTCAGGGCTTTCATGAAACAAATTGCACAGAATGTAGTAGCCTTTTTTTTAATGAGTGGAGAGAAGGTAATGGGATATTCCCTTTGCATTGGCATAGAAATGCAAATGATTCAAGGTCAGTTTATGTTGTTCCCCATCAGATAAAACTATTGTTTTTCATATAGGCTTTACTTATGTTCCTTTTTTTTTTTAAGTTTCAAAATCCCTATTATCCATATTGCTGAATTGAATTAATCTATTTTCCCACATTTTCAATGTATATATTCCAAAATGTGCAGAAGGAGAACTAATTTATTGTCATATAACAAAAGTATACATGCCTAGCTAGAAAATTGTTCTGTAACTTTACAATTATGAAAAAATAGGGAAAATTATTGTTTCATATATAATCTGAATTTAGAATTGGAAGACAGAAAATATCATAGAAAATAATTTGGAAATACTTTGGTTCAAAGCTTTCTTCTTGGTTTTGCCATGAAAGTATTTTATCATAATATATCAAGGTATATGTTTATTTTCAAGAGACCTGTTCCCCCAACAGTATATGTGTAACGTTTTCCGTGTAATATGGAGTTGATCACATGATGCAGTGGACTGTGAGTTAGCTAAATTCCAAACTAATCTGAAAAAAATCCACAAAAATCTTAGCTGTCTGGCTAGAGTTTTCAACAAAATGTTCAGAAATGAATATTTTGAACTTAATGCTTACCTACTGTGTTTTATTAAAGCAGAAGAGTATATCATCTTTTTTATTCCCAACTAATAATTCATTGTTATTTCATACATTTCAACCTCTATATTCAGACCATCCTAAAAACATGAACAAAAATTTAAACTAACAAGAAATTTAAACATATAAACCCATTGTGGGGAGGGAAATAAATAATACATTAAGAAAGAATTGGAAGGAAGGTTTTTTTGCATATTTCTGTTTGTTTTAATAACTTTTAAGATGTTTGATATTTTTTATCTCATAAACATATCCACATATGGTTCTTTCTCATGTAAATGCAAATACCTTTCCTGAAGACAGGAGCACTGGTCTGAATAAAGGGATTTCATTGTATGTCTATACTAGCACCTGCTTATGTTTAGCTTAGTGTATTCAGCAACTTTGATCTTTAGGCACAAGGGCCATTAATAGTGTAAATGATGAAAATATGCTTTGCATGGAATGAAGGCCCAGAGTGTTAAAAGTTAATTTTTTAAAAAAAAAATGTGTAGTACAAATGCAGCTTTACAACAGCCTAGCACATTTCATTCATCTTTGATAAGTACTCTTATTTTTCTGCATGAAATCGTATTTAAAAGCTAACTTGCAGTAGCAACGTTTTTTTGGTGAAAATTCAATATTTTGTTCTTTTTTGTGGGTGTTCTGTTTGTTTGCAGTCAGATGAGTGAGCCTCATAGCGGTTTGACGCTCAAATGTGCCAAGTGTGGAGTAGTTTCAACAACAGCTTTGTCAGCCACCACCGCCAGTAATGCCATGTTAGTCCTAATCATTTACATCTTCTTGTTACAAATCTTATACAGTGCATGTGAAAAAATGCTATGATGAAAATTGTGTTTGCTAATATTATAGCTCTGAACATGCTTAAATATTTAACATTGGCAACAGCCTTTATAACTACCATGGGATATTCTGTATAGAAAATAAAATACTAGAATGTAATAAACTTTGTGGTTTCCATGTTAATGGTCTTGTTGCCACCTGTAAAGATGCCTGGTGTAGCAGTGGGTTTGGTTTCTGTTGTGGAACTGGCACACAGCATTATGTCATGTGGTTTTCTCTGTCTCTGAATAGGGCATCTCTTTGGAGCTCCTGTGTAGTGTTGCCTCTCCTGGCTCTGACATGGATGTCTGCCGTTCTGGCCATGACAGACAAAAGATCTATCCTCTTTCAGATACTTTTTGCAGTATTTGATTCATTGCAAGGTTTTGTTATTGTCATGGTCCACTGCATTCTTCGAAGAGAGGTAAATAGTTTAACCTTGGGGGAAAAGGGAAATGGATTGGGAAGGGTTGGAAAGGGTTAGGACTTCCTATTGTGTGTGATCTTTCGTTTTCGATAGTAAGTTCTTTAGGGTAAAACCAGTTACCCAGAGAACCAGGCACTCAGAAGCCCAAAGCAGAAATCAGGCTTTAAGAAATTATTTAGAAGTACCACTATTATTCAGAAAGAGACAGTTTCAAATAGATGGGGTCTGCCCACAGGAAAAAGTAACTTCCAGGTACCAAGAGATAGAGATGAAACACTATGAAACCAAATTGAAAGATCAGTATATCTACACAGGAGAATGATAGATGAGAGGGCAAGGTGGTACAGTTGGATTAAGGCAACAAAAGAAATGGAAACTCCTCATCTGTTTAGATTAAAGACAGTTCATACCTCATCTTCTGATCGGTATTTTAAATGATTTCATTTTAATCAGAAAAGTATTAAAGATTAATGAGTAGTTCTTTTGGCTCTTTATTAAATTGCAAGAAAGGTCACTAGTGTATAAAAGAGGTTAGTAGTTTTGATATGGATGTTTATACTTAGCAAATAAAAAAGCCTGCTCAGTTTGCCACGATTGGCAGTAATTGTCCATGGCAGCTGGGGATCTATGATGACAGAACTCCTTCAGGTAATGTTTGAAGTTTATTACCAGGAGTGAGTGAAGAAACAAGCTATCCTTCACCATCACAGCCACTGAACTTCACCAGATGTCCCCAGAACTGTGATTTGTTTCAGACTTGATTTGTTTAGTGGTGAAATACTATTTTCCAACCTGTGTAAAAAGAGTTCTGAGAGCCTGCAAACACTGACACGATATTTAGAAGGTACCTTTATGAGTCATTTTAATGTTTGCCCTGGGGATGAGTGGAGACAGGAACACTGAGAACCCAAAAGACTTGGTCCCATGTTGAGGATTTAAAGAGACTGTTCTACCTTGTCATTCTGCAGCATGCACCTTGTCCATTAGAGATTTAAATACGTGCACATACATACATGCACACATTCATGGTGTTCTATAAACATAACTATTAGCCTTTACCCAGTCAGAGACTTTTAAGGATATTGCCAGCCCCCTAAGTAGCTTACAGATGTTAACCTCCCATTTATTGCCTGCAAGCCTCTCATATGACAGCAAGCAATGGATTCAAATTGAAAATTTATTCATATTGCTTAGGAGGTAATTTCATAATTTAAAAAAAATCTGATTAAAGTTCCAGCTTCAAAAACTGAGTATTCCAGCATCACCAACAAATTACTATACAGAGCTTCAGGCTGAAGAAGCTACCAAATATCAACTATTATCGTTGCGGCTTGTTTGTTGTTGTTGAGTTTTGCTGTTGTTATTACTAAAGGGTAACTTCTTTGAAGATGAGAGTGGTAATAATGAGACTTTTTCACTAGCATCCAGTTAAATGCTCTGTTTCCAAAACATTCTTTGTCTGTAATCTTGTTCTGAACCTCAAATAAACTCTGTAGGATTCTATTACCTTCATTTTTTAAAATATAAAACTAAGGCTCAAAAAAGGTTAACTGACTTGTTCATGATCTCATACCTATCAGAAGCAAGACTTCTTCCCAATTCTCCCAACTTCAAATCTAGCATTATTCCATACTGCTTCTTTCTTGAACTTGGATAATATTTATCCAACAATTTGATTTATTCCAGCATGCCTCCTAAAATCCAGGCACTGTACTAGAAGCTGACAGTGGACCTGAGATTTGAGGACTTGGATTTCAGTCCTGGCTCTGCCACTTCTAACTTTGTGACCTAGAGTCTCATCTCTTTGAGCCTCAGTTTCTTCATGTAATAAAATAGGTGGGTTGACCCCTTCCAACTCTGAATCAAATGATCCTAGAAAGACAAAAATGAAATTCAAAGCAAGTTCTGTTCTATTCAAACTATATTTACCCTGAGATTTTGCTGTGTTTAATATTGTAATTAATATTTAGAAGCAATGAAAATCTTAAGTTTCTGCCTTTCTAGGGCATTTTTCATAGATGAAAAAAGAGGTTTTACCAGGTAGTATAACTCCAATTTTAATATATTCTATATATAATAAACATTTGAATATATGTTGATATATGCTGAGTTGTAACCTTCAGGTACAATAGTAGAAAGAAAGAGTTCCCTTCTAAATAATTTGCTTTTTTCTTCAAAGAAAATATTTTAGTCTTCCTAAATGCTTTGCTGACGTTAGGTAGCCTTAACTTATTTTTTTGATAGTTGGGCATCCTTATAAAGGCTTATTTATTTCAGTTGTTTTGATTAAAATGGTACAATAATTTATTTCAAACAGGAATCAATCTCAGTTCTCTTACAACAATAGCAACTTTATCAGAAACCTGATTAGACTCTAATTAATTCAAATTATTCAAGGCAGCTAGGTGGCACAGTGGATAGAGTGCCTGAAGTCAGCAAGACTCATCTTCTTGGCCTCAGACATTTACTAGCTGTGTTACCCTGGGCAAGTCACTTAACCCTGTTTGCCTCAGTTCCTCATCTGTAAAATGGGCTGGAGAAGGAAATGGTAAACCATTCCAAAATCTCTGCCTGGAAAACCTACAATGGGGTCATGAAGAGTCAGACACAACTGGAATGACTGAGCAACAACAAATCCAACTCACTCACTGAAAGGGTTTCTGCTCTCTTGGGTATTCGGTAAATATCTCTTTTCTATTAATGGAGAATAAAGCAGAGACAGTCTATTATACATAATAACTTTTAAAATGAGTTGAAATTGATGGAATTTATAACAGAAAACTCCTTATAAAACCTGAATGCCAAACTTCCTTCAGTCCCAACACTAAGATGACAAAGCACATATCTACTACTCATGTAACATCTTCTTGAAAATATTGTCACTTCTCTATATCATAAATCCTCATTTCAGTTAAGGTTGAATCTATACCAAACTCAATATAAAGAGATTGTGTTACTTAAGGACCAAAAGAATATAATCAATTATTGGATTAATAATTTAATTTCCAGTTGTTATCCTCCCCTTCACCTGAATTTTTTTAATTTACTTTGAACATATTCTATATTTTGATCTGTGCAAACCAATCAATAAATATTTATTAATTACCTATTAGGCATCAGGGGTACAGGGACAATGAATGACATATTGACTTGACTTATGAGAAGGAATTAAGTATTTGTTAAGTGCCTACTATGTGCCAGGCTGTGAGCTAAGCCCTAGAGGTACAAAGGCAAAAATACTCCCTGCCCTCAATGAGCTCACAATCTAGTAAGAAAACGGCGTATGCAAGGAGCTTGATTTGACTAGATAAGAGAGTTCACGTGTTAATATGCATAAATATAAAGCAAATAAGTACAGATATACGTAAAGTAATTATATACAAGGTAGTGTGGAAGGGAGAACATTAACAATTGGGATCAAGGAAGGCTTCATGCCTGATGTCTTTGCCCTAAGCAACACCATTTGTTTACCCTGTACTTAGGTTCTTATTCATAGCTAAAAGAATAGATACATCTTTCTGCAGCAGGAATCCCACACCTCCCCAAAACACAGATTCCACAAACATTATATCTGAAGATAAATGGTCAGCCTTATGATACAGATTTTGCTCATAATAATCAAACTTGAATACTACAGGAGATCCCAGAGACAAATGAGTTCTCCATTTACTAATTTCCCAGTTATAGCATTTTTCTTGGGTGACTCAGAAAACGTGATAATATTTTAGTGTAATCCCTTTAAATTTCTCTAACAATTTATATAAACACTGCACCATATATTTCTTTTTAGATGGAGAGAGATTTGGGGTAAGAAATGTACTCAGCAAAAATGATTTCCACTTTCATTGTGTCTTTTAATATGTATTGTAAAAATGTGCCTATATGCTGTCTCTTTAACAGCCCTTTTCTGTCTGTTTCTTTTATTTTCCTTTAAATAATTTTCCCCAATAATATTTTGAAACACTTTAAGCACATTAACTGTTCTAGTTTTCCTATGAAGAAAGTGGGTGTTCATGTAGGAGGAATGTAGCCTGTAGTATAAAAGAGAGAAAAGAAATACTCTAATGCTGGCATTTTAATGGTGATGCTGTGAGTAGGGCATAATTTCTTTGAGAAGTAGCCATGCTTTCACAAATCTGCAGCCTAGCATTGTTTGCATATAAGGAAAAGAGACAGAAGGAGAATATACTAATGGCTGTGTCTCTGTCAGTCCAATTATAATGTTTACATGAAAATTTTCTTTAGTAATTTCTTTTTCTTTAATAATTATAATTCATATTTTTTGAGTTGAGACTTAGGTTCAAATCAAGGTTTTGTTACTATCTTTGTCTACCTGAGCTGCTAAATTAATCATTCTGGGCTTCTGATTCTTACCTATAAAATCTGAGAACTGGAGCTGTGGGAGGATGGAAATCCTAAGGGTACTCAGTAAGGCCCAAGATCCTTGTGTCACATCAAGAGGTCAGGCAACAAACGTTATTTGGTGTAGAGCCTGGAAGACTTTGGGATACAGCGGTAGGGCAAATCTTAAGGCCTGGTGGTCCTGCTAACTTTCATCTAATATAAGTCTTTGCACAGTCAAGTAGCCTAGGATGGTGTCTTGGCAGCCCAGGATCAAAAGAGGGGCAAAAGAGAAAACCGGGGGAAAGAACTGTATTTGGAATCAGCTAACTTGATATCCCCACTCTGTCACTTAATACCTATGTGACCTAGTACCTCTTTGTGCTTTAGTTTCCTCACCTATAAAATAAGGGGGTTGTGCTAGATAACCTCCAAGCTCTCTTCTAACTTGATATAAATGATCATATGAACTCCTTCATACTTCAACTTTCACAAAGTTATTTTTTAATCATTTACCTCAGAAGACATTTTCTCAATATAGTTATGCCTTATCACTTTGCTTTGCTAAAATTACAACTGCTTCTTTGTTTCATCTATTTTAAAATGATCTATTTCATGCCCTTTAGAAAAAAAAGGTATAAGTGATATTTGTGAAG